GGTCGGACTATGTATGTATCAGTGTATGTTAAGTAGGTACTGTTTTTTTAGAACTGATATTGCAACTTTTCTTGTACGTGTTGAGTTTGTAAAAAAGTGCAATTTCTATTAACAAAATCCTTCATTTACCTGATTTCTTTCTTTGTAAACTGTATTAAATTGTCATTCCATGTATTACAAACTTACAGTTACGAGGCTGCCAAAATGACAAATAATAAGTTTATAATGTGGTTTACTTTCTGGAAAATGAAGCGGATAAACTCCTTAAAGATTGCCTATCTGCCAAACAAGTGAAGCACTCACAACTTAAAATTTAGCATCAAACATTTATCTAGTTGAAATTTACAATAACATATTTCACAATGAAGTATCTGGAAATCGGAAAATTTACTAGGAGAGCAATGAAATGTGTTCAAGTCAGAAAAGTGTATCAAAGAAAGGACACTAAACTTTCATGCATGATACCATCTCCAAGAGAGAAGGTAATGGCAATAAGCTTTGGATTGTGTATGACCCTTGCAATTTTCCTACTACACAACTAAATACATATTCATACAATAATATGGATGGTATAAAACTTCATCACTGAAACACTGAACTAGAAACTGAAAAAATTGCAATAAAATTCATACTGGAAATGGCAGCGCTACAAATTAAAAATCTATTGTACCAGACTGAAGTGCATTTTTTTTTAACAAAGTTCACTTTGTTCATACTGGTAAACCTTCTAGCAACCAATATAAACCTGCATAGCATATATATACAAAGCCTGAAATCGAAATTTGAAACAAATACAAGAAAACAAACACCATATTAGAGCCATGATCTATTTGAGGCAAAACTTAACAAAATGCGCGGTGTCATTTGTCTTTCTGACTTAAAACTTAGTATTGCCAAGGATACAAAAAGCTATTGTATAGAAGTTGTAGCTGATAAACACCTATTGTTTAATGGATTGTAGCTTACAAATATTAGCCACCATATACAATTCATAGCTTAAAATAAACAACTACTCTATACAATTGGTAGCTAACAAAAAGCTCTATACATGATATCACATTGCAACTCTTCATCATTTTCATTGTCAAAGTAAAATTCATCCTCTGCCTCAATTGCAAAATCTTCCAATCCTATATCAACTACAAATGGCTTCTTCATATGTTCCATATTTGGGTCATTCTAGTGACTCGAACTCGCAATCCACATCTACTGAAAAGCCTCAATGTTTCTGGAGAAAGTAATACGAAGTATAACAATATTAGAAACAACACTGTTAATTATGCATAACATAAATAAATTACATAAATATTTGGACCACCTATCTGGCCCCGGTATATTAATTAGATACACCAACATAAATAATTGGATTATGTATAAAATGTGAAAATGAACAGGTATAAAATTATTCTTATCAATAGAACATCCATGTCTTATTGTCTATATGTGCTGCATCCATGCACTTAAAATCAAAGGAGACGTTCAAATCTCTAAATGCATGCTATTAAAGAAGCTCTTATATTCAAAAAGTCTTCCTAGTTCCTACTAATAATTACCTTGTTGCAAATACTTGTATAATGTTACTGAAGTTTTTCTGTTTGGCTTCTCTACAAATAAGGACATACAAATTAGCTGTTACCATGTGTGGAACATAGATTAATTTCAATATAAACATAAGCAATTTAATTTAGTGGTTCAATTAGGCCCTAGACTTCTAATTGAGCATGTGAAGCATAGCATGTGAAATCATAAACAATAATCTAAAGGTGAACCCAAAAAACATACATTTCTTGATAGTCATGCTTCTTAATTAAGTTATGCCAAGTTCTAAGAAGCTCCAAATGGCTAGCTTTAAAAAATTGCTCTAAAGAAACAAAGATACTAGCACACGTGATATGAGATTAGTTACATTAGAATTGATCTTTTCAAAGTCTTTTGAATCCTACCTTTTATAAGATTCAATCCTTAAGAGATGATCTTTATTCATGAAATGCTATGTTTAATAAAGTTGGAGGTTGCCAGCTTAATTTTTTTCTCACATGACTACCATATTCTACTAACAACACCAAGTTCTGCTGGTGCTAAATAAGATTCTACCGACTACCGGTGTTACTTTGGTGTTATTTGTTCTCACAGATGAAAAAATAACAAAGCTCACAGCACTTATCCATGTAGTTTGTATAAGTTCATAAAATGAACTAAAGGAAAAACCAGTGTAATTCATTAAACAAAGAGAGTGAACTCAAGAAAAAGGAAAATGATTTTTTCAAGCAACTAATATATGCGGATGATGATACAACAACATCCAAGCCTTAGTCCCAAAAGATATTGATATGCGGATGATGATGATGAATGAAGAAAATGAATATATGAAGAAGGGAATGAATTTGTTGATGTCATGACAAGCAGATCTAACTTTTGAATATCACTTTTTTTTGTATTTTTCGTTGCTGAGATACCGAGCTGCGATGTTATCCTTTTTCAATCCCTTGTTGCTTTTGTAGTCGTGGATGACCCCGCCTTTGCCCCCCTTGCTGTAACACGGAGCTCCTACTTCAACTCGAAATCTATTATCTTAGAATTGAGAAGAGGAAAAGTATATTGAAATTTAGAATAGTAAAAACAGAAAGAGTAATTGGGAAATATGGGGTAAATGATAATTCTGTCATTCGTTCTCTCGATTAAAAAACGAACAATGTTACAGGGATAGTGTTACAGACTTACCGAGTAGCTTTTCCGCCCTGGGAATGGTTGAGAGAAAGGTGCGGCCTGCGGGGTTCCGGAAAACATCCAACCGCGCCGCCAGGAAAATAGTGCTCAAATCTTGTAAACTTAAATCCCTAATTCGTCTAGTGAATTGAATTGCAAATCATTGAAATGAATCAAACTTCAACCTAGTCGTGACAACGTCGAACATTTCTGGAGTTGTAGAAAAAGACAGATGAACGGCATATTACTTCTCGTCTCGGTTTGCTAACAAACCGTGAAGGAAGTTGAATGAAACCTATTGGAGTGACGGAACGATTGGAAACGATAGCAATTGGATTCAAGGACCACTTTGCAAATTTTTAATTTTTATTATGAAAAGTGTGAGATGGAATATATGTCCAATGGTATTATGCCATGTGTATGATGCACCAAAACCTCCTGTAACACTAATGCACCGAAGAGCTTCCCATGGTTAAATTTATCCCTCCACCTTTTTCTCCTATTTTTTCTCTCTAACGGTTTCTAAATTAATTAATGTTATAATTAAATGTTTTAATTAAATTGCATTAACCAATAAGAGTAAGACACATCAGCAATTTATAACTGAACTTTACTATATAAAACAATAGATATGATTTTTCTTGGGTCAAGGAGAAAATCTACATTAGACTGCTATATCGATGTGTTTTTGAATCACGGAGGAAATCCGCGACAAAAGCAATGGCATCGCATCCGGCCGCAACTAATACCAGTGTGTTTTTTAGATCATTGAATGTTTAATGGGTCACTGGAATATTTTTAAAGCAATTAATTTTTATTAAACACGTTCCTAAATAAGTGTCAAATTCCACTTTTTTTAAAGGGGTAATTCCCCAACTAGACGTAAAACATAACTAAAATGCAAAAATAGGAGCTTAATGTTTCGTATGCTTTAATAGGAGCAAAAATACATGGGCTGACAATAATACCCTTAATGAAATGTCTGATCCGCTTATTAAAAATGAAAAACTGATTAATAATGATGTTGCACACTTGCACGCAGTAATGGACTAATGGGACATAGAGTACTTTATGCGACTGCCCATAGCCAGATCCAGCAACCCCTGGCAAGTCTGGCCTGGCGAGTCCCCCGCCTCTACCCGGCGAGTCTGCACCGACGTCCGGCTAGTCCGCCGCCTCCCTGTGAGTTCACTGTGCAGTGGAGAGTTGTACCGAAGAGAAAGACATGTATGAGAATATGTAAAAAAATGTTGTGAATCATAAATTCTTTGCTAAAAAGAAAAAATATATTTTGGGACAGACAAAAAGGAACTTGATAGATAATTTAGGAATGAAGCGAGTATTATTCTATATTAGTAAAAAAACAAAAAGAAAACAAAAAAACATTTACTTCTTAATAGAGTACTAGTTGAAATTAAAAGAGAACAATAACAAAGATACTATCAGATTTAATTTGTTAACACGACCATAGTAATCAAAGGTTCAAACTTAAGTATACTGCGTGTCTGCGTACTAGGTCTGTTATGCTTCACCGTTAGAGAGGGGGTGTTTGCCCTTTTTTAATAGATTTTAAAGTTTTTTGCACAAAAATAAAGTTTACGGGCTTAGATGCCCTTTGATGACAACTTCAAGGGGGTTTTGGCCCCTTTTCTCATTAAAAAAATATGAATCTTCTTCCTTTATACTTAAATAGGAATACAAGTTGATCTGGATCATTCACTTTAAAACGAATTTTTTACTTTTTATCTTTTTTTCCTACTTTTTTACTTTCTTTCACACTTTTTCTAGAATATTCATTACTCCTTTAATTTTCTTTTAAATATTGTGTCAAAAGCAGTGTGGAATTTTTTACTCCCACCCTGGTGACGAGAAACATCCTTATTTGGTTAGGTTTCTACTTTTTTTTGGCGAGGAAGATTTCTACTTTCAACTAGTACTCCCTTCGTTCTTTTTTATTAGTCCTTCTTTCTTTTTTGGGAGGTTTTTTTTATTTGTCCTCCTTTCCCCTTAAGGAAAGTTTTTGAGAAAATACCGCCACTTTTATTACTTTTACCCCACTTACTTTTTATAAACTACTTTCTCTTTCTTACTTTATCATCACTTTACTCTTCTTAATATACTATATTTCCTACTTTATCATCACTTTACTCTTTTTAATATAACATCTTTCCTACTTTATCATTTATCCTACACACTTTATACTTACCCTACTACTTTATTATTAAAATCCGTGTCAAGCCCTAAGAGGACTAATAAAAAAGAATGGAGGGAGTATATAATATGGGGTTTGAGAGGGTAAGAACGATTCATCATTTGACAATCGCACCTATGGTCGATAGTTCCCGTCTAAAGCCGTCGTACTGGCAGGATCGACTCAGCGAGTTACCTTACGAATTGATTCTTCATATCCTCTCTTTCATGCCGCTGAGCGATGTCGTTTTGACAACCCTAATCTCCAAGCGCTGGAAATCCTTTGCTGCACCATTGTTGAGTGTTGAGTCTGTAGAATTTAAAGATTGTGATATTGAATGGAACAGATTAGTAGATGCTCTTCAGTTTCTTCCCAACTTAAGTTTGCTAGTCATTAAGTGCGATAACAACACGTTATCAAGAATGCAGCCACTGCATTTGAAGACAGACCACTCCCCCAAGTCCTTTCGTCTGAGGAATGTTGATATCACTTTGGATGAGAAGTTGATGCTCCTCCCACTTGTAGCGTTTCTGTTGGGAAATTCTCCGGTGCTTGACAAGATTGTGATCCGGCTGTCGGGCAGTAGTTCACATTCACTAGAATATTGCATTCTGGTGGCAGAGACATTGTTGAATATGCCGAGGTCCTCCCCAACTGCAACAATTTCCGTCTTCGATGGCTTTACTCAGTAGATTAATGCTTTTGGTAAAGCACGTTGAAGCTGCACTGGGGTAATGTTGTTGTTGTTGGTAAAGCGTGTTGTTGGTCATGTGTGGCTATATATGGTTTTCTTGGTCATGTGCATTAGTTCTCTCGATCCTTTGTTATTCTTGTTCTTGTTGTTTAGTTTGGGCAAGGATTGTGGTTCATCAAATTTACTAATAAAATAAATTATTCAAAGTTGAATCTACTTGCACTATAGGGTTTTGGTTAATGATTGAATATTCTTGGCAAAGAAAATGTCTTTTTTATTCTTAAATGCAACCTGAGTGGCAACTTTCTGTCTGCTCTTACTCCTGATGTAGGTATAGTGAGGCAGATCCGGGATTCATGTTGAATAGGGGCCAAAGTTTTTGTGTACTGTTTATTTTATAATACTGTGTTTTCGATGTGGTCAACAGAAGGGCACTGAGTATGCATCTGTTATTTTGAATGCCTAGGATACAATTGATGATTCCATCATCCATGGCCACATTTGGTGCCATTAGCCTCTTTGGTTATTAAAGAAAAGGCTTTAATTAATTTCTCCAGAAGGGTTTCTTTTCCAGTTTCCCAGGCCCCAGCCCTCAGGTTATAACTTAGTTTCAGAGTTCATTGGGAACTAATATCAATGTATATTGTTAGCTGATCACTAGTTCACTACTACCTGTTAACAAGATACACTTGAGGAATAGCATGATACTTGAATTGCATTCCTTATTGCTGTATGATAGAGACCTCAACCAAGGTTGTCAAAAGCGCTTGCCTCAGCGCTTAAGCGCACAAGGCGCAGCAAGCATACCCCCCAGCGCTTAGAAATAGGTGAAGCGCACGTACCTGGGTAAGGCGCAGCATAGGCGCATGAAGCGCTGAAGCGCTGCAAGTCGCACGCCTGGGTCGCCTAGCTGGAAAAGGGCTGGCAGCCTTTTTTTGTTTAAAACTTTCAAATACAATTAGCCCATATCTTTAATAACACTAAGCCCATGAAAATATTTGGGTAAAAACTGTAAAACCTACATAAAACTAAGAGTCTATGTAAGTAAACACGTAAAACTTGCGCAAGACTGTTGCTATCATCGCTAGCCATCCTCGCTCTCCTCACTCGACACTGAAGCTGCTCTACACCAGCCAGTTCTTTAAGCTTTCATCATCATCTCAAGCAAACTCAGCTCTCCCTCTCAGCACTAAACAACGTATGTTTTCTTTTTCATGCAGTCCTCTTCATCCAAATACTCATATTATTCTAGTGTCTAAATATTAGCGTAAATGTGTAATAAAGTAATAATACTACGTATTAGTATTTTTTTTAAGAAGATGATTTTATTGATTGAAAAGGGTACAATACAGTACAAGAAAGAAGTGAAAAAAGAAGAAGAGAAAAAGAAGAAAAAACAGCAAAGAAAAATTAAAAAGAGAAGAAACGTGAAACTAATTCCAAGGGAAATCTCTGAATTGAGACCTGGTCTTCATGTTGTGGCGATACTACGTATTACTCCGTAGTATATTAGTATGTATATAATACTCATATGTACTCTGCTTTGTGGTTTTGTAAAGATATTACTCTGTAATCTTTCAGAGTATATTAAGTTTCTAACTTTAAATACATTACTCAGTTCTGTCACTCTTGTGTTTTATAAAGATTAAAGATATTACTTTGTTTGACCCAACTAGAGTAAAAACATGGCTGTTAACAAAGGGCTGAGTATAACATGTTTTTCAAAGTTGATAACCACCCTTTACAACACACAAGATGACAAACACAGATGGAAAACTAAAAGAACATGATAAACACACAACCAACTTTGTGTTTTTCCATTATTTAGCAGCCATATTTGAGTGTTTGGCCCATAAATATATTATATATGTACTCTACTTTGTGGTTTTCCAAAGATGTTTTCCAGTGTATCAATTATTAAATAATTCCAGCTTTGTGCTTTTCCAGGATATGGAAGGTGGAACAAGTGCTGCAGGTGGTGCTGAAAGCGAAAACTCTACAAAAAAGACCCAGCTTGGAAACACAACTACTTGGCTAACACAAAATATCCTAATTTTTGTGAATCATGACTTTATTTTGATGAATCCTAGCTTTTTTATGCATTTGGTTCAATATGATGTTACATACATCATATTTGGTAATTATAGAATAGTATATGTGATTTTATCTACACCCGAGTCAGGCGAGCGCTTTTTTGCGCCTTGCGCCTCAGGCGCTGGGAATACCCTATCGCCTTGATTGCGCTTCACGACTTTGACTACCTTGACTTCAACAATACAGTAGAAAATCAGTAGATTATTGATGAAGTTTTTAGAATCGAACAGGATTACAAGGGGCATAGACAGGACAGGAAGAAAGAGAGAAGAACGTACACTGTTGAGACACTTCAAGTAGTCTCGCATGCCAAGCCTTATTCTACTCTTATTTCCTATTTATAATATTTTCCTTACGGGCCGACCCATAACTAAATAATACCAGGCCAGAACCCCCCCCCCCCCCCCCCAAAAAAAAAAACATGATAACAACTATGTAAACATTATTCCATTATTCTTATTATTATTATTCTCTTTAGCCTAGGATCCTATCATATCTCCCTCTTAGACAACCACCTTGTCCTCGAGGTGGGTGATAGGAAATAGGCCTTCACCTTCAACTTCATCTTCATCCTGGCACCTCTTCCTTCCCATTACCTCTCTGATTGCTTATCAACTCTCAGACATATGTCCTCACCTTTTTCATTGCTTGGATCCTCGCACTTTGATCCGTTTCTTTCCAGATCAACCTCTCCCAATAACTTGGTCAGTGCCATTAATGCGTCCTGGGTCAGAGTTGATACCTCACCCGGAGGTGAAACTCTTGAGATACATCGATCACTGTCCACTAGCAAATACCAGTATTCACTCACTTGGTATGCATTTTCATCTCCCAAGTTCCTGATAGTTTTTCCACAACTTTGTTTACCTTATCTGCTGCTTGTTCTAAAATATATTGCTTCTTGATGGAACCCCCTTGCTCCTCATTGAACGCAGATGTAAAGGGAATGAGAAGCACAATTTTTCGGCTCTTATGCTGATAAGAACCCATCTTTCCCTTTCGACCACTTGTCAAGCTGTAAGGTCCTCACAACATGATAACTGCATTGAGAACTATTGTATAAGGAGGCAGTCTGCTGATCGTGTATAGAAGTAGAGCTTTCCCACCAACCTACAGAGTTATTAGATGTAGCATTTCCTTTACTTATGTAGGACCAAGAGTTCAGGCCAGAAGACACAGCATCTAGAATCTGCATCAAGCCAGCATAGGTAAAATTCTTCACCAAGTCATCATTAGGAAGTGTTGTTTACACCAGCAGGTCCTGGAACATGATCAAAGGTTAGCAATTCCTGTTCTTAGCGCCAGATTCCAACACCCTGACAAGAGACTGAACTTCAAGAGCGACCTCCAACCCAATAGTCAACCTATGTAAAGAACCAAGATCATTCACCTCCTTTTGCAAAAGCTGGAACTGAACTTTCTCAATCACTAACTGCTCATGCTTCAATTCACCAAAACAAATTGCTGCCAATGCTTTAGCAAGTTTAATTTTGCCAACTCCAGTAGGACATAAGGGCATAGCAGCAATGTGACTCATTAGAAGTATTCTCTTATCAACCCTCAGCTGTTCAAGGAATTTGCCTGACCAAAATGAAGCTATAGAAGTTCTTTCCTCATGTCCAATGACGTGCACTTTGTCACGGTGTGTCAAAATAAATTAAATACTAGCACTAATACGTAGTATAGTGAAGTAGAGTTCGTATCCACAGGGAAAGGAATAATTCTCTTTTTATAAAACTAGTAAATAAAAGGGGGGTTTTGGGATTGAGTGATTTAATTAAATTAAACACGAAGATGAACAAGTTATATGTGATTTAATTCAATGATAAAAAGGACTTGGCATTGCTACTTTCCACTTGTTGATATATTTTAGTCGATCATTGTTATATCTATAACTTATTTCCTCTCGAATACTCAATCGAGGAGTATATCCAATTCATCGAGGAAAGTTATTAACAACGACCGTTCATTAATAACCCTTACTATTAGTCAAGTATAGAACAACGCCATATACCGACTTGATAGTAGCATTTAATCTCTTAACTCCTTGATGAAATCAATTGAGATTGATAACCTTAACACAACGGTTTCGGTTTAACCAACAAAATTAATCCCTCTTAAGTTTATTAACCACGACCGTGCATTAATAAACCGAAGTTACTTACTTGTGAAACCATCAACGATTAACCATCGGTTCGTTGATCGTTTCTAGTAATAATTAATATATGAAACAAAACTAGTTGATCCTTTAAGTAATGTTCAAAATATTAATATGAAATATGAATAGGAATTAATTAATACTCAAGGAAGAATATTAAAGAAAATGAATCCTACTATAGTTAATATCAAGATGTTAACTAATTGTCATCTTAGTAACACTCCCCAATATTAACATAGAGGAAGGAATAGTTATTACTAAGACCAATGTCAAGATGTTAACTAATTGTCATCTTAGCAACACTCCCCAACATTGATATAGAAATAGTATTTAAAGGAAGAATTAATATTCAAGGAAAGAAGTTAAGAAAATAACTCACAACTTTAATAATCAACAAGCTTCAAGAGCAACACCAAGAAATGGAAGTTTAGCTCCTCATTTGGAGACTGAACATACTATAAAAATATAAGAAATAACTATTCTAAACTGAGCTTTAAGTATATGGAAGAAGGGATTTTTTAATGTGAAGGAAAAGGGGTGTATTTATAGCAAAATAGAGGTGGCAGGGTTCGGTACTCGATCCAGTATATGGGATACTAGACCGAGTATGAGAGGAAATTTCCAGGAAATTGTGAAAAATAGGCATACTCGACCGAGTATTGCCAATACTCGACCGCGTATGCGACAAGATTTTCATCAAATATTCAGCCACGTTCTTTTGCTCCCAGATTTGATTTTGACCAGCGTATCTGGCCAATACTCGACCGAGTATTGGCAATACTCGACCGAGTATTGAACAAATTTCAAGATCTTCATTTGATCTTCTCCTTTTTGCACATTCTTTGGTCTTTAGGATCCATCCTTTGATTCTTGGGATGATTTTGACCTGTCCTAAGCTCAGAGTAATCCTAATCTAAACAAATTACAAATAATTAATGAAAATAAAGTATTACACCTAAAGTGTGTAAGTTTCACAACTAGAACTAATAAAACTAGTTAAAAATACAAACATACATAGTAGGAAATTCACCCTATCAAACTCCCCCACACTTAGTTTCTTTACTCGTCCTCGAGTAAAGCCAAATGTTTACAAGCTTTCCAAGTCCTCCATAGTTCAACAATTAACAAGAAAGATCAAAAGACCACCAAGAATAACACATGAGTTTTAGCTCAAAGAATAACATTTTCTTGGGTTTTATGGTCTTCTATGCTTATCTCTTTTCTTCTCTTCTTTTCTTCTTTTCCTTCAAGAGATTAAATGATGTCCTACAAAAAACAAATATATCTCTCATATCTCTCATTTTGCCTAGGAGTCTTTTCAGGTTTTCATCCTAGCACCTCTTTTAATTTTTCCATCCTTTCCAACTCACTCATCATTTTTTTGTAAGTCCCTTTTGCTTAGATTGCCCGTTTTTGGGTTTTCAACCTAACTAGCATTTTTTTCTTTTTCTTTTTTTCTTTTTATATTTTTTTTTTGAAGAAAATAATGCAAGTTACAAGGTAAAAAAAATTAAGTACGTACCAATGAGTTACTCCCCCTCACTTAGCTCGAAGCACTGTTCCTAGTGTCCGCCATCACCATCGGCTTTTTTTTAGGTATAAGTTGTGGACTTGGAGAGGTGTGGTTGCTTCCTAGAGTTTAAGGATTAGAGGGTATGTGAAGAAAGAGGAAAGTGATGAGAACAAGATTATGATTTTGTGGGGTTTGGTGGAGGATTCGGATAGATTTTGAAGAAAGAAGGATATGAGTATGAGGTTCGGGTGATTGAATTGGGGAAGAAGATGGAGAGTAAGGTGTTGATTTGGGTTTGAAATCCCAATTACCTGACTGCGTGTCCCTTTGTTTCCGATCGAGTATGCCTGTGTTTTTTTTTTAGCGTTGGCAGCAGCTGCTGGGAATGGTATTTCCGCTCATACTCGACCGAGTATGAATTTATACTCGACCGAGTATGTCTCTAAATGCTCAAATTTCTCAGGAGGCAGTAGCCTTTTGAACATGTACTTCTGATCATACTCGACCGAGTATTGAGTGATACTCGACCGAGTATGTCTCTTTTTGTTAGTTTTGAGTCTGGAGGCAGTAGCTCTGAGAAATCCTTTTCCGTTGATACTCGACCGAGTATGGACTAATACTCGACCGAGTATGCTTCCTTTCTTTTAAACCTGCACTTTTTTTTTGAAGTGTAAACTTAAACTAGAATAAAAAGTAAACGTATCTTACATGGGTTGCCTCCCAAGAAGCGCCTTATTTAACGTCGCGGCACGACGCCATCATTATGTTCAGTCATTTAAACTTGGATCGTGATAGTTTATCTTCTTCACACTTTCACTCCTAGGACTTCCATAGGAATGATAAATTTCTCGACTCTTCACTTTGGAAATCTTTACAAGATCAAATATCCAGATTCTCATTGATTCATGTGGTGGGAGGAAGGGGAAGAAATTATCGTTTAGCATAGTCAATGAGAAGTTTTTCGATCCCTCAATTTTGAAGAAGATTTTAGAAATGTCATTGTCCTTTTCAAGTTTATGAGTTTCTCTTAAAGCGTCCAGGGATGATGGAGATACCTCAAAGGATGATAATGACAAAAATTTGAATTTGAAGCTCGGCTTATCATCTTCTTTGACCAGTTGGAGCTCTGTGCCTTTTTCTTCTACTTCTTCTGGATTCTGGATCTCCTTTTGCATTTCCTTTTCATTTGTCAATGTGATTGCAAAAGTTTGCTGTTTAGGATCACATTCTATTCGAGAAGGAAGTTTTTCTGAATCCCTTGCTTCAAGCCTACTCACGGCTCCGGCTATTTGAATCATTTGAGTTTCCAAGTTTGAAATGCTAGACTTGGTCTCATTTTGGAATTGCACCATGTTGTTCTGCATGGTGGTCATGTTGGTAGCAATAGCCCGGACCATATCCTCCGTAGACATGTTAGAGTTGGAGAACGGATCATACCTCATGTGAGGTACATCCCTTTCATAACCAACATCATCCATTTGTTCAAGGTATTCATCTTGGAGCTTTGGGCAGAAATCCATAAGATGCCTGTGAGACATGCAAATGTTGCATGTCTTGACATATTGAGCTTCCGAGTTTAAGATAAATTCCTTTATTAGAGAAGTCAAGAAGGAAATTTGACTCTCTAAGGATGATATGTTGGCATCCATATACTCATAACTCATGTAAGCTCAGAAAATAGAAGAGTAAGTTTTTTTTTTAAATATTTTCTTTTTTTTTTTGTTTTTGATTTTTATGAGATAAAATAAAAAGAAAAATAATTGCCTTTCCCCAGCAACGGCGCCAAATTTGACGTGCACTTTGTCACGGTGCGTCAAAATAAATTCAATACTAGCACTAATACGTAGTATAGTGAAGTAGAGTTCGTATCCACAGGGAAATGAATAATTCTCTTTTTATAAAACTAGTAAATAAAAGGGGGGTTTTGGGATTGAGTGATTTAATTAAATTAAACAGGAAGATGAACAAGTTATATGTGATTTAATTCAATGATAAAAAGGACTTGGCATTGCTACTTTCCACTTGTTGATATATTTTAGTCGATCATTGTTATATCTATAACTTATTTCCTCTCGAATACTCAATCGAGGAGTATATCCAATTCATCGAGGAAAGTTATTAACAACGACCGTTCATTAATAACCCTTACTATTAGTCAAGTATAGAACAACGCCATATACCGACTTGATAGTAGCATTTAATCTCTTAACTCCTTGATGAAATCAATTGAGATTGATAACCTTAACACAACGGTTTCGGTTTAACCAACAAAATTAATCCCTCTTAAGTTTATTAACCACGACCGTGCATTAATAAACCGAAGTTACTTACTTGTGAAACCATCAACGATTAACCATCGGTTCGTTGATCGTTTCTAGTAATAATCAATGTCGAAACGTTAACTAATAGTCACTTAGCCACCCTCCAACATTAATATAGAATGAGATTAAGGAAGAATTAATATTCAAGGAAAGAAGTTAAGAAAATAACTCACAACTTTAATAATCAACAAGCTTCAAGAGCAACACCAAGAAATGGAAGTTTCGCTCCTCATTTGGAGACTAAACATACTATAAAAATATAAGAAATAACTATTCTAAACTGAGCTTTAAGTATATGGAAGAAGGGATTTTTTAATGTGAAGGAAAAGGGGTGTATTTATAGCAAAATAGAGGTGGCAGGGTTCGGTACTCGATCCAGTATATGGGATACTGGACCGAGTATGAGAGGAAATTTCCAGGAAATTGTGAAAAATAGGCATACTCGACCGAGTATTGCCAATACTCGACCGCGTATGCGACAAGATTTTCATCAAATATTCAGCCACGTTCTTTTGCTCCCAGATTTGATTTTGACCAGCGTATCTGGCCAATACTCGACCGAGTATTGGCAATACTCGACCGAGTATTGAACAAATTTCAAGATCTTCATTTGATCTTCTCCTTTTTGCACATTCTTTGGTCTTTAGGATCCATCCTTTGATTCTTGGGATGATTTTGACCTGTCCTAAGCTCAGAGTAATCCTAATCTAAACAAATTACAAATAATTAATGAAAATAAAGTATTACACCTAAAGTGTGTAAGTTTCACAACTAGAACTAATAAAACTAGTTAAAAATACAAACATACATAGTAGGAAATTCACCCTATCATCCAACCACACAAAATTCATCATCTCTAGCTGCTGAATTTATAGAATGTTCAGTTTGGACTTTATCATCCCCTTCCAAGTGAAATTCATAGTTAGTTTTGCTGAGTTTCTTTTTCATAATCATTTCAGGCATTGTCCGCACAGATCTAATTTCTTGCCAGTGTTCACTTGGTGATTTTGTAAGTACGGAAATAAGCAGCCGCTTTTTCCTTTTAGGAGCTTCCATTTGTGATCTGCTCCCCACCACACCAATAGGATCAATGGTTTCGTCCAGAAGATATCTATAAGGAATGCATCTAGCTGAAAGTTGCAAAACTGCTGTTATGGCCTAATAGTTCTGAGACTCATATTTCTGAGACTCGTATTTCTCATGCAACCCTAGTAGTATCTGGACAACATCCTCCTGGTTCGGTTCATGAATCATTTTAGGCTGAAATCCAAGCATTGGCTTTAACATATTAGCAAGTCCAGTACCCTTACTTCCTCTTCCATCCGGGTTTGAGCTGATGATTCCCTGAAGCTTCTTTCCATCATTCCCCTCTTCTATTTCCTCAGTTTCCTCTATAAGGACAGTCCTTGTAGAACTTTCCCATGCATATGCATGGTAATGCATCTGATTTACAAATGGCAGAAACGCCATAGCTGTCGCTGGATCAATAATGGAGATTAGAATGGCAATTGAATAATAAGTGACTGCAATCCACAAATTTTTTGACTTCATCTAGAGCTGCGTATCTATGTTCCAGTAACATGACAGGTTTAGATTCTTCTAGCTGCTGTAGTACATCGCCTTTTCCTTTATGTGGTAATTTCTTTGAATGTTGTTTCCAACTTGATTCAAATGCACAAGCTGCAAAAGAATTGAAAAGAGAAAATAAGTCTAATTCTCTCAAGTACTGAGAGAGTACAAAACCACACCAGGAACAGAACATAGAGAAAGGTTTGAGGAATATTCCTGCTATAGGCAATAATGCTGGATATCGGTTTTCTCACGCTTCAGGTTTGAAAAATATGTTGATTTATAAGAGTATCTTCTACGAGTGGAAGGAAAATGAGAGTTGAGTGTCAATTTTATTCAGCGATTTGAAGAAAGAAACACAAACACGTCTCTGCAAGCTTTGTCATAAAAACTGAAAGTGCACAAAAGCTCACAATCATAAATGATTAAAATCAAGAGAACATAAAAATCTTTAAAACAATCAATGCTTCAAATGCTAAGTTATTACTACTCTTGCATCATAAAGTGCCACAATCTGGGAAGCAAAGCCAATCTCTTTGCGATATGTTTCAATCATTTTTAAACAAGAGAACACACAACTTCCATATATGTGCTGATCTCTTAGCGGGTTGGAAAGTGCGTGTAAACATGACGAGGAATGTCTTTGATCTCTCTAAGTCGATTTACATGTGGTCATAGTCCTGGACCCCCTGGCAGCTTATCAATGTTTATAAATGATCATGCTTCCAATCCAGCCATCCATTATTCTATGAAACTACTGCAATTCATAACTAAGAGCAAGACTACATAAAGAGAATTAATGAAACTAATCATTGACCTGAAAAGTAAATATTGCTCCTCCAAAGCTTAAGGGGGACAAAACTCCCCTTTCATACTCAACCTCTAGTGTTGCGTATAAGATTCCGCCCACACACTGTGGCTGGCCACGAGGAGTGTGAATTATAATACGGAGTAGAATAGTTTAACAATATGCTTTGGAATATTTTAGGAATATACTCTAGCATCTGTGGTCAATGCTCCACAAGTACAAGCAAAAACTGGTTTTTAAGAAGATAACTCCTTCAATATGATCTTGACTTCAGTAAACTAATTAGTCTAACAGAACTGAATTCTTGAGTAGTACCCATCAGTTCTTTTTGTAAGTTAAAAAATCCTTACACCATGTTTCGGTTAAAATCTATCTTTTCGTAAGTTGGAATGGTCTATTTGGAAATGGCATTGTAGGACCATCTACTGGAGGTTTCGGAATGGATCCATCAATAAAACCAGTCTTGTTCTTGACTGAAACTCTGAAAGGGCTAACCTCCATCGCACGAGTCCATGTGTATCATTTTCATTTTCATTTACCCCAGTGCCGCAAAGGCTCCCACCTACGGTGGGGTAAGGGGGGTCGGATGTACGCAGTCTTACCCTTGTACTAAAGCACAGAAAGACTGTTTCCGGATGACCCATAGTGAAAATCGCGTCCAAAATTGCATGGACTGACTGCTGCTTCATAACAAAGAAGCGCAGACAGTTCAGTGAGCCATTTTGCTTTATTCCATCATATTCTCAAGCCAAAAAATAATGAATCTTTGGCTCCATTGCAAATCATGGAAAGACGAGTCCATGTGTATATGATAGTTTAATCCATTGAGTGGTTGATTAACAAAGTAAAATGTGATCCATCAGATTGATGGAGAAATAAAGGGCTTGGGGTGTATTCCTTCACGAGAGCAAAAAAATGAGTATAAATTGAAAGGGAGAAGATATAGCAGAGGTGCTTATTGATGTTAGCAGAGAATAGAATATGAAACTGAATTGGGATATTAAGAGAATTTGAATAAAAACACAAGCCATGGACCATGGTTTAAAAAGGCGCTAAGTGCTCAATGTGAGGCGCACATATCAAGTATTGAGGCTTAGGTTATTTTTTGCACGATGAGAAGCTTACACCTCAAAAGTCAGGGCTTACGCCTCTAGGCACTTTTTGAGGCAGGTTTTTCAACATTTCTCTTTACTTTGGTTGTAACTTAAAAAGGCCCAGTGATTCTTTTTAACATGTGTCCACATATACTTTCTAAACCCTAACAAGTCTGGAAAGTGGAACATCTTTAAAATATTCACACTCCAGCAAAATGACAAGAATTGGAAGATTTTGAAGGTGATGATAGAAGGAATGGTGGTGACAAGGCTATAAGATATGGTGATTAAGCTTCCACATTTCTAAATTTTGTCATCTGTGTGATGAGTTTGTTTGTGTGTTTGAATTCTCATTTTGAATTGTCATGTTTGATGATGTGATCATATAAGGTGTTCTGTGGACTTGCAATTATGCATATCTTTTTTTTTTTTTTTGTAAATTAACTATTTTAAGTTTTATTTGTTGGTTGAATTTGATGGTCACGCCTCGCCTCTCCACGATAAACTGCCTCGATACCCAAAACAGCCTTTCTAAACCTTGGGAACAACTTCATTGCCTGATTCTAACAATCTAACCATAGATATTCTTTTGCCTCTTTTGGAGCTTGCAGATTTGACATAAAAAGCACCAAAGTTGAATAAGAATTCTGCTTAAATTTCACTTACTAGTCTAATTTGATGTTTCAATTCATTTCTTTTCTTGAATTTACTTGTGTTAGAGAGAATCTATGTTGCTAGATTATTTGGATGGCCAGAAATGTGACAGTTGACAGTTGGCCACAATCTAGAACTTAGCTGTTTGTTGTTGTTTGATGCTTAAAATAAATGAGTTGAATTAGCTAATCCCTCTCTTGGGAAGGAGTGAAGGACTTCGGAAAGGAGATTGGATTAGTTGAGCATTAGACACTAGGGGTTGGGTGTTTCCCCAGAAATTGGGGTAGGTTAGACTCAATACTTAGTTTTTACCTTCTATAGAGAGCTAATTTTGAAGACATTAAGATAAAGAACATTGATAGGAGAAACATCCATGCATCACATCCAAAAAAAGGAGCTAGAGAGTAGTGACTAGTGACCCTAGTACAGTGTTTCCCTTTCGATATCAACCTAAGCAGTCATATCAATTCACTTGTTTAGTTCAGTTGTTGCTTGCTTTAGTGATTGCACAAGTTTTTTTGTGTTGCCAATGTTTTATTCTTTTTCTAGCTTCATGTCAACTTTGCCTAAACTAGTGTTCAATATCCTTAATGCATTGCCTCCATAGCTTGGAAATACATGTGGATCGAAAGCACAAAACGTCCCACGCATTACCATTACAGAAAAAACCGATCTTTAAGGCCATAGTTAACTTAAAGAGCAATACAAAAAAAAACTCTGAATAAGTACCTTCACTTCTGTCCTTAAATCCTTGAATAAGGTATGCACATACCCACGGCCTTCCGGCACGGGATGCTTTTGCGCCTCCTTTAAGCTCACCGTTATGTTGCTTTAAACTATAAAATGTAAGAATTACTAAATTAGGAAATAAAAGTGACCCAAATTTATAAACAACAGTGTAAATATATTTCAAAAATAACTGTAAATAGTTGTAACCGGAAATGTGAAGGAAATATATAGTTCTATGAAATTATTCAAATGGGTCTATGTCTGGTATTTTTCCAGGCACTACCAGATTGCACTTTTGATAACATGACACTACCTGCATGAAGAGTATGAAGTGGGAGGTCTGAATGGGTCCGTGTGTCTGAGTTGACTTCAGAGCTATGATCAGGATAAGGAAATGAAGTTTCATCAAAGACAACATGTCTAGCAGTGTAAGTGCGAGATGAGGGAACATGAAAGCATAGATATCCTTTATGTTTAGCACTGTACCCTAATAGTATACAAGGAACTGAACGAAACTCCAGTTTATGATTATTGTAAGGTCTGATATAAGGGTAGCATAAGCAGCCAAAAGATTTGAGAAAATTATAATCAGGTTGACGCTTATACAGACACTCATATGGTGATTTGTGATTGAGAATAGGAGTCATAGTTCTGTTATTGGTATAGACAGCTGTGTGAAAGGCTTGTTCCCAGAAGGTTACAGGTAGTTTAGAATGGGCTAAAAGAGCAAGACCTTTTTCAACAACAACCTTGTTACGCCGTTCAGAGGCACCATTTTGTTCAGGGGTATGAGGGCATGAAACACGATGATCAATACCATGGGTTTGCAGAAAGGAGGAGACAGTGCGATATTCGCCCCCCCAATCAGATTGGAAAGCCTTAATTTTGGTAGAGAATTGTGTTTCAACCATTGCTTTGAATAATTTTAAAGCCGGGAGAACTTGAGATTTATTGGTTAGGAAATAAATCCATATAAACTTGGTACAGTCATCGATAAAAAGAACAAAGTATCGATTACCATTCAAAGAAGACATAGGGGCAGGCCCCCACACATCTGAGTATACTAAATCAAACGGTTGCTTTGAAGTAACATGACACTGTGGTAAATGAATTCTATGACTTTTACCTAGTTGACAAACATTACAAACTGACAACAATTTATTTGTAGAGGTGGGTAAATTGTAAGTAAAAAGGAGACGACGCAAAATGGATTCATGTGGATGAGCAAAGCGATGATGCCAGCACGCAGCAGAAGCTCGTTCACCCACAAAGACTTGATGAGGACTCAAAATAGAGGAACTGACGGGAAGCCGATATAGGCCGTTCTCAACGACCCCTTTGAGGATTATCTGGCCCTGCAAACTCTTAACATAACAATGGTTAGGATGAAATTCCAGAGTGACATTATTGTCTTTGCATAATTGAGAAACACTCACAAGATTTTTTGATATTGTGGGGACAATAAGAATATTTTTTAGAGATAGTGGTTTAGAAGCATGCATAGCAGGTAATGATGATTGACCTAAATGAGTAATAGGAAGAGACTGACCATTACCAACAACCAAGTTGTCTGGACCAGTGTACTCTGATTGAATGTTTAAATTGTCCATAGCAGAGGCAACATGGTTTGTGGCACCAGAGTCAACAACCCATGGATCAGTTGAGGTGGAAGGACTATTACTGGAAGCAAAATGTGCTTGTTTGGAGAGGGACGGGTGTTGTTGGCGTTGGCGGTCACTTGCTTTCCGATTAGTTGCAGGAAACATAGCAAGGTTAAGGCGCTGATGACAATTGCGTGCCTCATGATGTGGTTTAGTGCAGATTTGACAAGTGAACTTTGGACGATCAATAGCATCTGTGGAGGCCAAACCAGAAGACAATCGTCCACCTAAGGCCCTTCTGGTTGCGATGTTGGCAGACAATAGTGATGTATCGGTGTGAGCATCTTCAAGGCTTCGTTCTTCACGAAGAAGGAGACCCAGCAATTCAGTGGAGTTGAAGGGCTCGACTCGAATGTTAAGAGCATATTTGAATGCTCCGTATTCAGGGCCGAGACCATATAGGAGAAAGGATACAAAGTCATCATCTGAGACAATCATCGAACACTCAGCCAACGAGTCTGAGATGGCACGCTTCTTTTCAACATATTCGAGAACGGACATAGAGCCCTTTGAAAGTGTCTGAAGTTGCTGTTTAAGGTGCATTTGGAGTGCCCGAGTTTGAGCATGAAACATTTGCTCGAGCATTAGCCATACCTCAGAGGTGGTAGTGGCACGAGCCACATGACCAAGCAAGGGAGTAGTGAGGGTTGAGCGAAGCCATAACAGAACTAGTCTGTCTTTGCGTTTCCAAGTCGCAAAAGCTGGGTTCAAATCAGAGATGGTGGAGCCGTCTTTGGGTGGCAACGTTGCTGATGGAGCAGTGCCAGAGACCAAGAAAGAATCGAGCTCATAAGCTTCTAGGGCAGAGTGGATGGTTTCACGCCAGAGGGAATAGTTGGTCCGATCTAGGCGGACTGCCAAAGTCGGAAATTGAAGAGTGGCAGAGGCGCCACCGGATGCGGTGAAAAGAATTTGAGTTGCGGAAGCATTGGTGGTTTGGCCATCGGAAGACATGGTGTAGGACCGAATGGTTAGTCTGATACCATATAAGTTTGTGAAGAAACTGATGATTCTCTATTTCACAATAACAGAGGTTATATACATGATTCTCAAAGCTAATTATGGAAACTAAATATACAAATAAGGATTGCAATCAATCAACTACAATCAGGGATTGCTAATCACTAAATCAGCTACAAATAATTAATTACAGCAATATTGATCCTAAAATAATACGTTAATAGGGACAAATTACCGTCCAAGTAAAAACATCTTAAGTGAGACGTCCCAAAAACAAAATTGGGAACCTTAGAATGGGAAGAATGGAGTATTAGATAGGGGTGGGCATAACGGTTTGGTTTAACCGAACCAAACTGTACCAAACAAAAACTAAACCGAACTAAAACCGGACCGTATGTAATTTGGTTTGAGTTTGGTACTATTTCTTCCAAACCTTATTAAACTGAACCGAAACCGAAAAAAACCGAAAAAAATCGAACTAGAGAAATTCAAAAAACCCCTTCATATATTATTAAAATTAACAAATCCAAACCAAACCGAAAAATAGTATGGTTTTTGTTTAGTAATAATTCTTCCAAGCCTTTCCAAACCAAACCGAACCGGAACCGATAAAAACCAAACTGAAAATCGATATGCTCAGCCCTAGTATTAGAGTAGCTTCGTCATTATATGTATATATTAGCGGTGCCCCCAATAACAAACTTTTCTGGATCCGCCACTGGTGTACCTAAAACTATTGGCAATTAATAGGAATACCTTGTAGACATGCTGTTGCTGGAATGTCTTATAGGGGTCTAGGGATACAACCCGGAGGAATGGGAGGATGATGTTAATCAATGTTACACACAGAATATGTATGAATTATGCTATAATTATGGTATAAGTCCGATTAACGGACAATCTATGTGGCCAAATGTTGAGTGTGAGGATATGCTCACTCCCCGATATAAGAGGGGACCTGGAAGGCCAAAGAAACTGAGGAGGAGAGAACCTGATGAGGATGAAAATTCTCCGAAGTTGAAGAGGGTCAATACCCAATACAGATGCACAAAGTGTGATAAGTTAGGACACAATTCGAGAGGTTGTAAAACTACAACTGTGAACTTAGCTGCCCAAGCAAGAAAGGTAAATCACTCTAAATTTAATTTAACAATTTCAATTCTATAAAATATTAATTACATTTTGATTGATACAGAGAAAGCCCAAAAAAGGAATCATTGTTGACAGTGTGATCGGTGTCGGGGAAATGTCAAATGCATGAGCCATGTCAAATTGGTGTGACTAGCAAGCTGTGGATCTTGAATTTATCATGAATTTTAATTTCAGCTTTTTTTTTATCTTGTTAGATGTAACGGATCTTAATTATGGATTAATTGGCTGAACAATTAGTTTGTTCAGAGTTTTTCTTGATCTTGGTTTAGCCTTCGGAACAGCCGTGAATATTGAAATTATCTTGAATTTTATATTCATTGATTAATATTTTTTTCCTTTCCAGTGTAACGTATTTTAAGAATTAGACTACTTTGTTTTCAATTTTATTTGTAGTCAGTAGTATCTGTCATTCCATTTGCAAACGAAGGATCGGCGCGCATGACAAAAACTTGGAAAGAAAATTAAAATACAAAAAGAAAGGATGTGAAACAATATTGATTATATTTGTAGGCATGAAAATATATTTTAAAGCTAATTAATAAACATTTGAAGTGATAGGGATGTGGAAAATTTTCATTCAGTTGACGTGAAAATTAAAAATGCAAAAAAAGGACGAAATTAAAAATGCAAAAAAAGGACGTCAAACAATACTCATTACATTTGCAGGGATGAAAAGCTATTCTAACGATAATTTGAAAACGTGTGAAACGATGTGGATTAAATGAAATTAAACATTCGAGTAAGTTGACGTGGAAAGACACGTCATCACTTTTAACCGAGTAAAATGATCAAGGATAAAAAAAGATAACTATGCAAATTACAGGGATGAAAATGATTTTTTGTTTTTATTTTGCAGGGACCTAAAATAAAACACCTTAGATTTGCAGGGGTGAAAAACATGTTTTAGCCTTTTTTTATAATTGGTTTCTTCCGCTTCTAAAAAATTATTTTTAAGAATGTAATTTGGAGAATTCAAAAATATATTTGCAATTTCACTCAAACACTCGAATATATGCTTCTGCTTGCTGAAGGAGAAGAAGTAGATACAAACACTCCTTTAATGAAGAGAAAAATTATATGTATACATTTTTGTGCACATCAGTACACATGTCTGTGGATAACTTATTCGTAGGACTACATATGTTGAGAGACCTGTTTTATTCATAGGACAAAAGATGTTCACTGACACGTTTTATACTTTTATCTATGAACAAGCTATTCAAAGAAAAAATACCATGTTCACAGAAACGTATACAAAAAGTGTGTACAACATGTAGGGCTGTAATTTAGTACTATATTCGTCCTATTTTATGTGTCCTACTTTAGTTTGGCACAAGTATTAATAAAGTGGTTGAAAAAGTAAAAGTTGTGGTTAAGATTTGAGTATAATAAAGTGAAATGTTATAGACACGTATTTCTTTTCAATAATGAAAATGTAGGGGTGGGCGTGGTCCAGAACAGTCCGGTAAATTAGTCAACCTGTAATGTACCCGTGAGATTTTTAACGGTCCGGTACGGTCCGATTTCAAGGATGGAACCGTTCGATATCATGTCGTTTTGGAACGGTACAAAACGGTACGGTACAATGCCAAACACATGCTAAAAAATTTGATCAAATCTTGCAATTAGTAGATATCATCACACCAACCAACTCACATGAAATGTTGATATAAATACAAGAAATTGCACATATAGGACTAAAATTCACAAATAAACAAATAGTGCAACACAACTAAGAAAGAGTATAGCAAAATGTGACGCACGAGATAAATATCATCCTTAATTTACTTAGTTCATGTGAAAATTAAATATAAAAAAGAATATCATCAAATTGTTGAATATAATAGAAATCTTCAACACTCTTCTTCTTCATTCTAGGTTAAATATTACTCCGTAGTTCTAACATAATTTATAGTTGACCCTTGAAATCTAAGATTTAAACCATATTAATTAAGTTGTAAAATTGCACAAACATGATACAACAAAAGTCATGTACGCTAACATTACTAGAAATGAAGTCATTATTGATTTCTCTAAAATTTTAATATTCTTTCAATACATACCAAAATATAACATAAATTATCTAAAAAGAAAAAATAACAATATATATATTATATATATAATCACACACATTTAACTATTTTAAGGACGCATAAATACATACTTGTGCTATAAAATTGTTGGTTTATAAAAGAGATCTATTGAATTGGTATAGAAAAAGTATAAAAAATTCAAGTGCATCATTTTCAAATGGTCCGGTCCGGTATTTTCGCTTCACAAAATCTAGGACCGGACCCGTATCCGTTTCAAACGGTACGGTTTTGGTACGTGACAAAAATATATAGAACCGTTTAAATAATACCCAGTATTCGGTTCAATACCATTACGGGACGGTTCAGTACCGGTTTGGTTTGGGTTTTATGCACACCCCTAGAAAATGTGACACTTATTTTTGGGATAACCCAGAAAGGAAAGTAAGATGGGTAAAGCAGAACGGAGGAAGTACTCAGATGTTCCATTCAATACACATTGCCTTTTTCTTTGTATCAAAGTTTTTACTTTTAATGTCCCATCCATTATCTTTCAAAATGAATTTTGCATGAGAATTAAGATAGTGAGAATTGTATGATGAAGAACTGTGCAAATGAGAGAGGAATGTGTAAGAAATATGTAATAAATGTTGTGAACCACAAATTTTTTGCAACAAAAAGAAAAAAAGATTATTTTATGAGAAAAGAAAAAAGAAATTTGGAAGATAGTTCAAGGATAGAGGGAGTATTACTTTGAAAATTGATTCTCCTTATTTCTTTGTTATCCACAATTTTTTATTTTTCTTATTTTACACTTAACACAAACTTAAAAAGTCCAATGAAACATAGGTAATACAGAATTCATAGAAGAGTACAATATAAACAAAAAGTTTAACAATTAAAAAACTTATAATCACAACTTGGAAGATGTTTTTGAAAAATACTATTAAAATAAAAAATATTTACAAAAACAAAATTAAAATTATTATGAGTATATTGTCATGACAACTTAACTGTAAATATTAAACACCAGTTTGCATGACTAAAATTACTACTACTCCATATTATAATAATAATTACATTAAAGATGTCGCATTTTTTGTAATCATAGTTTTTCAATTTGAAAAAATATCTATGTTGTACGTACTTTGTTATTCAAATAAAGGGCAACTTGGTGCACATTGGTGAGGCAAGCTCGCTCTCGGAGAAGCATTCCACCACACGGTGTATAAGGAGCAACTGGCAAGCATTCCTTAACACCACTGTGCAACAACGCTCCCCGTCTCAACAAATATAGAAGTAAGTAATTTTTTCCAATAACCTACTTTGAATGCTAACAAAAACAGCAAGAACGTACGAAAGCGGTAGAGCCTAGCGGTCATTTTTGTCTAGTGCTTTATGCACCGTTTCTTCGTTTTTTTGCGATATCTATGGGTAGTTCACTGCTTTGGAGTCTTGGAGTGTCACGGTTAAAGGATGAAGCGGATAATTGCATATCGACTAATTTGTGCCGCTTGTGCTCAACTCCTTATGGTATTCCTACAATCATAGATCTTTTTTCATAAAAAATACTCCCTCCGTAACTTTGAAATCTTCCCATTTCAAAAGTAGGTAGATTAAGAATAGTGAAAGATGATATGAATTATTGAGGGTATGATGGGAAAATTGTGGAATAATGTGGTGGAATGTAGGATAAATCCAAAAAAAGTAGTTGTAATAGTGTATTATTTTAGAAATTATTGAGGGTATGATGGGAAGATTTAGAAATGAGAAGATTTTTTTGTTACGGACGAAAAAGGAAAGTGGGAAGATTTTTAAGTTACGGAGGGAGTATCATGTCATAAATCTCATCTTTGGTGACACCAATTGCCCCCCACCCACCTACACCACCACCACTAAGTGGGTGGGCTGAAATCAATTTTGTTCACCCTCTCAAATGGGGTGATGTTCATGGTTCACCCCACTCTTAGTTCCAGGCTTTGTGGTATATATGTCAAGTGTGTATTATTTGATCATTGTTATACCTTTTAGGTTCAAAATATATATATTCCCTCCGTCCCAAAAACATACTTCTCACATTGACTTGACACACAAATTAAGGAAGTGAGAGTAAAGTGGAAATGTATGATTGCAGTTGTGTAGGAAAAAGTAAAATGAATGCGAACCACGCAAATTATCCAAAAATGATAAGTGAGAAGAATTTTTTGGGACGGCCAATGACGTGCACTTGTCGTGAGGTGCACTCAAAATAAATATCAATACGACACTAATACGTAGTATAGCGAAGTAAGGTTCGTATCCACAGGGAAAGGAATATTTCTCTTTTTAATTAACTAGTAACAAAGGGGGGGTTTTAGATTTGATTTGATTTAATTAAAATTAAACACGAAGATGAACGAGTTATGTGGTTTAATTAATGAGAAGAAGACTTGGCTTTGCTTTTATCCACTTAATGAAATGTTCGTCGATCCCGGTTATATCTTTAACTATCTTCCTCTCGAATACTCAATCGAGGAGTATATCCAGTTCATCGAGGGTAGTTATTAATAACGAGAAGCGTTCATTAATAAAACTTACTATCGAGTCAATATAGAACAAGCGCCGTATATTAACTTGATAGTAGCAATAAACTTAAGATGAAAACGATTGAGATTGATAACCTCAACACAAGCGGTTTATTGGTTTAATCAATATAATTAATTCCCCTTAGATTATTAACCATGAGATGCATGCATTAATAATCCAAGTTTACTACCATGAAAGGACCGAATTAATAACAAGCGTATTAATCGACCGATTCTAGTATTAATTAATATATGAAACAAAACTAGTTGATCCTTTAAGTAATGTTCAAAATATTAATATGAAATATGAATAGGAATTAATTAATACTCAAGAAAGAATATTAAAGAAGATGAATCCTACTATAGTTAATATCAAGATGTTAACTAATTGTCATCTTAGTAACACTCCCCAATATTAACGTAGAGGAAGAAATAATTATTACTATAACTAATGTCAAGATGTTAACTAATTGTCATCTTAGTAACACTCCCCAACATTGATATAGAAATAGTATTTAAAGGAAGAATTAATATTCAAGGAAGAAGATTAAAGAGAATAACTCACAACTTACAAATTCATTAAGCTTCAAAGTAGCAAAACCAAGATGGATGAGTTTAGCTCCTCATTTGGAGACTAAACATGATAGAAAATATAAAGAAAACACTGATCTAAACTGAGCTA